GGGAAACAGTGGAATGAAAATTTAGAAGGAAGCTGGGCAACAGTGGCTCAAACTTGTAATTCTAGATACTCAGGAGGCTGAAAAATGAGGATCTAGATTTGAAGCCAGCCCCGGCAGAAAAGTCCCTGTGAGACTCTTACCTCCAATAACCCACTCAAAAACTGCAAGTGGAACTGTGGCTCAAAGTGGTAGATTGCTACACTTGAGCAAAAAGAGTTCAGGGACAGTGCCTGGAGTTCAAGCTCCATGGCTGAAAGAAAGAAAGAAAGAAAGAACTTCAACCTTGTAAATGATAATGTTTTCTAAAATCCACATTAAAAGAAGCATTTCTGAACTAAGAAAGAAGTGGAAGAGCTGGGCACCAGTGGCTCTTGCTTGTAATCTTAGCTACTCATGAGGCTGAGATCTGAGGATTGAGGTTTAAAGCCAGGCCAGGAAGTAAATCTGAGAGATTCCTAGCTCAAATTACTTGCAAAAAGTGTGGAAATGAAGCTCAAGTGGTAGAACTCTGGCCTTGAGTGACAAAGCCAAGGGACAACATCCAGGCCCCGAGTTTAAGCCCCAGGATCGGCACACACACACACACACACACACACACACACACACACACACGCACGCACACACACGTGCGCACACACACAACATACAGTGAAAGAACTAGGAAAAAACTTACTAAAAAGGTAAATATGATATCAATAAAATTGTGAAAAACTTCATTAACAGTTAAAATATGTTAGAGATGAAATGTTAAATAGGAGTTAGAATGTAAAACAGAAAACTAACATAAAAGGATAGAATGAGGGGCTGAGAAGGTAACTCAGTGGTAGAGCGTTTGCCTTGACAAAAAAAAAAAAAAGAAAGAAAGTGGCTCCTAAAATGTTCTAATAATTTTTAGATTATAAAAGCTAAGAGGGGGCTGGGAAGGTGGCTCAGTGGTAGAGCACTTGCCTTGCATGCTTGAGGCCCTGGGTTCAATTCCTCAGCACCACATAAGGAAAAAGAAAAAAGCCGGAAGTGGCGCTGTGGCTCAAGTGGTAGAGCACTAGCCTTGAGCTGAAGAGCTGAGGGACAGCGCCCAGGCCCAGAGTTCAGGCCCCACGACCGGACTAAAAAAAAAATAAATAAAAGCTAAGATGAAGGCTGGAGTTATGACTGAAGAACTAGAGTGAAGGCTGTGAGCAAGAAAGATGAGTGAGCTTAAGCCTTGAGTTCAAGTCCCTGTGCCAGAAAAGAAAGAAAAATAATTTAGAGAAAATAATCCCAGCTATGTTGGAGAAAATGATAAGAAGAACTGAAGTTTAAGGCCAGTTGAGGCAAAAAAGTTATTGAGACCCCCCATTTCAACTAATAAGCTGTGAGTGGTGGTTTTTACATACCATCACAACTATGTAGGAGGTATAAAATGGAGGATCACCATCTAGCTGGCCATGGCAAAAACAGGAGCCTCTACTTAAAAAAATAATTAAGGCAAAAAGGGCTGGGGTGATGGTTCAAATGGTAGAGTGCCTACTTAGCAAGCGCAAGGTCCTGAGTTCAGACCCCAGTACCATATGCGCGCGCGCGCGCGCACACACACACACACACACACACACACACACAGAGTTAAGCGAACCCCTCTCCCCAATACTTGAAACACAAAAGGAAAAAGTATTTACTTAACCTTAAATGAGGCAAGAACAAAACCAAGCTACCAGACAACGTCCAATTGGAAACAGTGTTCTGGGTGGAGTGGAGGTGCTGAAGTTGATGTACTCATGCCCATTGTTCACCCACAGCACCTTCGGCCCCCACGTGTAAAGAGCAGGCTCTTGGCACCCCATTATGTCCCACAGCTGTGCTGGGTTGTCCAGTTAGATCCAGTCTCCCAAGGTGGTCCGCTAGGCCAGGAAGCACTCCCTCATTTTGGTGCTGGGAGTGTTTTCAATTCTACCTTCTTTTATCTTTCCCTTATTTCAGAGCGCTTTCATTATCTTTTGTTCTTTTCTGATGAAATCAGCATGTGAAAGGCAATTAAATCAAGCTACCAAGTGAATTTATTCTATCTTATCTCCTTGACATTCTTGTGGTATTACATTTGGTCATGACACTGTTTTCCACATACAGTCCCACAAGTTCATACATGCAATCCTACCTTTATCACCTTGGTTCACCGTTTATTGATCTTGAGTTGCTTAGTTACTGCTTCCTTCACTGTTACTGGTAAGGGAAATGAGAATCTACAGCTCAAGGACTGGACTGGTAGGTGAGGGTGTGGTGAAGAGGTTAACTTCAGGCAGTAAAGGCTCTTACGTCTGCTTTTGTGACGCAGATGGATGCTAAAACTGAAATCCAGATTAGAGAAGTTGTTGATGGTGGTTAGATAGGATTGTTTTTGGAAAGTCTGGGGACAATAATTGCTGCTCATAACCCCTAAACTGCTGAAAATGCTAGACCTTCACAACAGATGGATGGACTGAATGTTTGTATCTCCTCAAATACATATGGAAAGTGAGTCCTTTGGGAAGTAACTGGGTCATGAGGGTGGAGCTCTGAAGAATGGGATTAGTGCTTTTATGAGAAGGAGCTGTAAAGCTATCTAGCTCCCTTCCTGTCATGTCAGGACAAGAACTGGGAAGTGGGCCCTGATCAGACAGTGAATCTGCCAGTGCCTTGATGTTGACTTCCTAGCCTCTGGACCCATCAGAAATATGTTTCTGTTGTCTAAGTGTCTGTCTGTGGTACTCTGTTAGAGCAGTGAAGACTGAATAAGACAGACACTGTCCCTCCCATTTCCAAACTGGAATGCTTCCAGAGGCTGTAGATGGCTCTCTTCATTTACCAACAGGTTGGGTAATTCTGGTCCCACTCATATGCTGGATCTTGGGGGCTCTTCTGAAAGCATCATGAACTGGCCAACCACCATCTAGAGTCTGAAGCCAAACACAGCATATCACTTTGTAGCTTTTCTGCAGTTCCTTGAAAATATGCCCAGCAATAATAAACCTCCATCTCTTGAGGCACCATTGAACTTTCCCACAAATGAATTGTCTGGCTCTTAAACAGTATAACCTTTTAGAATAGAGAGTACATTCAAAGCTGCAAGCACTATTCAATTCATAGTTTATCAACTCCATGTGTTTGGGCCTTCCCTTTTCTATATTACGAGGTGACTGTCCCTTTTGTTTCCAAATGGTTTAGTTTCCTTTCACTAAATTATGACCACTTTTTTTACTCTACTTTGCTGGTATTACACCTAAGTCTCTGCCAAAGACCAGATGCATGTGCTCCCATTCCCAATTCTTATATTGAATCTTAACACCCAATAGGATGGCAGTAGGAAGTTGGGTCTTTGGTAGGTGATCAGGTCATGAGAGCCAAGTCCTCATTATGGAATTAGTCCCCTTATAAAAGAGACAAGAGAGCTCTCCTGTACTGCCATGTGAGGACTATGAACAGGAAGTAGGCCCACATCAGACACTGAGTAAGCTGGAAGGCTGATGTGTCAGCCTTCAAGGAAGCAGTTGCTCATATGCCCCCTTGACCAGTACTTTGTGTGTTTCTAAAATTTTCAGCCAAACTTTAAATTTCTTGGTCTACTTCTACAGATAGCTGGTCAAAGCTATCAGTGGATAGATCTATGCGATCTCCAAGAGAAAAAAATATTTCTAACTCTTTTGAGAGAGATTATTTGCAATATTTGTCCCAATGGGAACACAAAGAAGTTATAGACTGCAGACATACTTGGGGGGCAAGCTTCTCAGCCCGGCTCCATTCCAGAGTGTGTGGTGTTTGTCCTTCAGCCTGTATGAGGAAGTTGTGCTCACTTGAGAGCCCTGAGATATGTCCACTGAGATACGTCCACCCTAGCCCTATAGCCTTCATTACAGATGACACTTTCCCCAAGTCCGGTCAAGACATCTGATGAAACATGCCTGTTGAATTTAGGTGACTGTGTAGGATATCCTTCCTTTGCTCTTCTATTTCTGCTTAGTCCTGAAATCCCACATTGCATTGCTTTAAGTCTGTTCTCTGCCTCTGCTGGGTCTGTCCCATTGGTCCTTTTTCTACCTTTTGAATCCCTGGACACCTGACATCCTCTGCTTTCTGCCTTAGCTGGGCATCGCCCATCTTACAGCTTGAACAGATAAGTTTTGACCATATCATAGTTTGGCTGTGGGTTCTGGGAAAATCTTGGAGAAATTTAAAAACTAAAGGCTCATTGATTCATTTATTTCTTAAACAATGTAGATTAAAGATTAAGAAATTTCCATCTTTAAAGAGCTATCAGTTACTGCTTCTAGCGTAGCAGTGCTCTTTGAAACATTCAGAAACGCAGGCACGATTGAACTTTTTTCTTGATTCATGTGAGTGTGCGGTAGTCATCATACATATTCAAGCCACCTTTTATGCTGACATTGCATTCTGAAGTTTGATTGTTTTCACAGGTGACCTCCACAACATTTGACGACGGTGGCCTGTCCCTTACTGACATTCTTCCCTCTCTAGACACCAGGGCTGGCTTTGGGAGTTCCTTTCAGTGGGTTCCATATCCACACCTACAATCTGACTAGCAAGCAATACACACCCTTTTCACTTGGTTAACGTCTCCGCCATCATTGTTTCCACCCATGCCTGGGGAAGGCATCTCTAGGGCAAGCTCTATGGCTTCCTTTGTTCTTCCTAGCGTGAAGGACGCGTGGCCTGGGCTGCTGTGCCATTAGCTGCACCGGCCTTGCCCCGCCTTCAGCCACCATGCCAGCACTGCACCTGGCTCCGAGCAGGTGGGTGGATAAAACTTGCAGCCGGAAAGCGGCCGGCGCGGCTAACCCTGTCTCAGGGTCCTTCCGGTTTGGCGCTGCCGGCGACAGACCCCGCTGATGGAGGCAGAGAGGCCGAGGCGGCGGCTCAGCGAGGGCAGAACAGCGCCGAGCACCTGGGAGGCGCGCACACGCCCCGCACGCAGCGCTCTTGACTCCACCCGGCCACCGTCGCTCCCCGCGACGCGCGCCCGTGACCCGGAAGAGCATTCTCCTTAGCAACTGAGGGTCCGCGGCGCCGGCGCCGGCCTCCGAGAGCGACGGTGAGGCC